TACAATCAAACATCATACCGAACCAGCTCACAAGACTACAATCAAACATCATACCGAACCAGCTCACAAGACTACAATCAAACATCATACCGAACCAGCTCACAAGACTACAATCAAACATCATACCGAACCAGCTCACAAGACTACAATCAAACATCATACCGAACCAGCTCACAAGACTACAATCAAACATCATACCGAACCAGCTCACAAGACTACAATCAAACATCATACCGAACCAGCTCACAAGACTACAACCAAACATCATACCGAATATCCTAATCACCACGAACACAAAGATGACGAACACCACAAAGATGACAAACACCACAAAGATGACAAACACCACAAAGATGACAAAGATGACAAACATCACAAAGATGACAAGGATGACAAACATCACAAAGATGACGAACATCACAAAGATGACAAACACCACAAAGATGACAAAGATGACAAACATCATAAAGATGACAAACACCACAAAGATGACAAAGATGACAAACATCACAAAGATGACGAACACCACAAAGATGACAAACATCACAAAGATGACGAACACCACAAAGATGACAAACATCACAAAGATGACAAAGATGACAAACACCACAAAGATAACAAAGATGACAAACACCACAAAGATGACGAACATCACAAAGATGACAAAGATGACAAACACCACAAAGATGACCACAAAGATGACAAAGATGACAAACATCACAAAGATGACGAACACCACAAAGATGAAAAACATCACAAAGATGACGAACACCACAAAGATGACCACAAAGATGACAAACATCACAAAGATGACCACAAAGATGACGAACATCACAAAGATGACCACAAAGATGACGAACATCACAAGGATGATGAACACCACAAAGATGACGAGCACCATAAAGATGACGAACATCATAAAGATGATGAACATCACAAAGATGGCGAACATCATAAAGATGACGAACACCACAAGGATGTCAAACATCACAAACATCATCATCATCATCATCCTACTTATACTACTATCTATTACCACAAAAAACCCCATCACCATCATAAGCACCATCATGCCACTGTCTACCATAGTAAACCGCAACATTATCATGTCAAAGAAAAACATCACAAAAAAAAGCATTCTCACAAAAAACCCCATCACGGGAAAGAATATTAAATTAATACCGATTTTTTTTCTTTGTAATGTATAATCTGTCTCTTAACAAATTTGCCTTATTATAATATTACTATTATATTCATTATGTTACAATAGAGTTTTTTCGTTAAAAAGAAGATTGATGCTTTAATATTAGCGTTGTAATAAAATTTTTTAATAAAGTTGATTATTAAAATATAATTATTATTTTAAAGATCCATGAGAAAACGTAAAAATCAATTATAAAAGCAACCTACTGTACTTTGAAATTTAAGAGATTTTTGCGATTCTATTTGCTCGATGGGTTATTTCAAGTATTTGTGTCAACGTATAAGCAACGTTTCATGTCAGTTGCTACTTTAATGTTTCGCTTAACAAAAATCAACGATTGAGAAACTTGGTTAGAATAGTGTTAAGCGAAATTTTATTTTACTTAATAAAAGAGTCTACATAAGCGACATACTATTAAATGAAAAATGTCTACAATGACTAAGGTAAAAACTCTGCCACCACGCCACAAAGGCATTTATATATGTTGTCTTTAGGGTATGTGTAATCCTCTATTATGAAATAAATAAAAAGATATAATTATTGATACGTTGCAATTAAATTTCTTATATGTTTAGTCGATATCAATTTAGATGGAAGACTAATGAATGCAAAAAAAATTCGAAAATTTTTTTAAACCTAAACGTTATTACATATTAAACTTTTTATTTTATTAAGCATATATACTTTTGTATATTAAGTATAATCTAGACAACTAAGTGATTCTTATGGCGATTAAGCTTTAGCTTTTGAGATATTTTTGATTTGACTGGTTTTGAATACTTGTTAACTTTCTCTCAACGAAATTTTTTTCGAAAACATTTATTTTTCTGTAAGAAATCATTGGTTCCGATTTTTCTATTAACCTCCCTCATTAACGAAATTACAAGTATATTGAATAATCAAGCAACACGATGAGTTAATTATTCAAGCTTTAAAATTTATTTAATATTTGTAGGAATTCAATAGTTCTTTCTCTTTTACATTGGTACTAACTTATACACCGCTAACTTTAATCTTATCCTACAAGCAAATCGTTCAGAATTACCGCGTCGAGATCATAACCCTTCTGGTGAGCTAGAATCGTTATGGAAAGATTTTGGTGCCAGAGCATAAAGGGACACCCGTAAAAGATTTACAAGCAAAAATGAAAAAAGCACAGGAGTCTACAGAAGCTGAGGAGGAAAAAGAGACGAAGAAAAGAGGTGAGATTCGTCTTATATTACCATTTTTTCTTTCGTGTTGTTTTTACTTATATTTTTATCAAATACAATTTTTTCTTTAGTACATTACAAAAGTCTATTGATATTCTAATGTATTGGCGGCTACCGAACGTTTTGATGGGTTATCTTACAGATCCCGGACAAAAAGAGACTTGAGACATATGAATTGACCTTGGCATTTGTTCATCAAAATCTCGGTGATCAAGCTCAAGATATTATTTGAAGTGCTGTAGACAACATTCTGCAAATTTATAAAAATGATTTACTCAAGGATTTTGACAAGAGATATTGAAACGGCTATTGGTGCCGTTGCACCAGATAGATTTGCGCAGCTAGTGAATTTGAGGAAAAAAATAACGGATTACTGTATCATCCCGAGGATGCCAATAAATGATGGTGAACTTTCAGGCGAGATTGATGATAAACTTAGAGCTTCCGTAGTATTTGATAAAGAGGAGGAAGATGAATTTGGAAAGTACGAGGTTGAGTCCGAGGAGGAAGATGATGATGAAGGTGGTGTAGAAGCATTGATAACAAGTGTATTAGGCGTTGGTCAAGTTGAGGATGATAAATATCGAGTTTATTTAGATGTAGAAAACGAAGGGTTCCGAACTGCTATTGGTCTAGATACTATTAAATCGAAAGGTCACTGGTATATAGGCTTTACAAAAATATCTCTGCATGATATTGATGCCTTCTAGCTTTAGCGTCTAATATCCAATAACTATTCAGATCCAGCACCGCACAAGAAAAGACGATAAATACCATGCAAATACTTGAATCAGTCAGAAATACTCGTTACTGCGAAAATGAATTAAGGAATCTTTTGATAATGACAGATTCGACTGGTCAATATATTGATAAGAAATAGGAATGATGTACAAAACTTGCTAAAGCTGGAACAGGAAATGCTAAGCGACAATGTATTGAACGAGAAATTTGCGAGCAAGGATTAGAAGAATTTGTTATCGTGCTAAGCAGCTCTGCTTATGCTCCTCTTATATGTGCTTTATGCTTAAGCGTGCTTGAGCATAATGCTT